ACACAAGCAGGGGGAGTGGGAGAGGGAGAAGCAGGCTCTCCTCTGACCAGGGAGCCCGATGCAGGGCTTGATCCCAGGACCGTGGGATCATGACCTGAGCCGAAGGCAGACACTTAACGACTGAGCCACCCAGGCGCCCCTCTTTTCTTCTTTTAAAGAGTTATTTATCTTACTTATTTTGAGGGAGAGAGAGTGCACACGTGCATGTGGGTGGGAGAGGGACAGAGGGAGAGGGAGAAGGAGAGAAGCAGACTCCCACTAAGAGCAGAGCTCTACCTGGGGCTTGATCTCTCAACCCCGAGATCATAACCTGAGCTGAAATCAAGAGGCAGACGCCTAACTGATTGAGCCAGCCCGGTGCCCCTCCAGTGATGATTTCAAACAGAAGAAAGGACACGGGGAGCAGGAGAAATATTCCATTCCCACTTTATTGCCCAAATCGCAGTTTCAGTTTTGCTAGCATTTTCATCTTGATCTCCTGAAATAGTGATTTGTTCATTTGTTCTCAATAAGCTATGTAAAAAGAGAGAGCTAGGGGAATGGATGACTCAAGTTGCAGATGTCCTAAAACCTATTTCGTTAGCCTTCAGAATGCTTAGCCTCTGAAATGTATTTTGAGTGGTGTACAGCCATTTGAGGTTTGTGGTTGAATTTGGTATGCACTAAAAATCTTAAGCTTCTATTGCCTGAGCAGACTGGAGGAATCCCAGACATGTGGGGGAAATTCAATATATCCACAGAGTGGTATATTCACACATTTCCACCAATGGATTTCACAATAGCTAGTGATTTGACCTTGTTCGAGATGAGCTACGTGCAGCCTATTAGTGGACTGAGCAAAGATCGATGTTGTGCTGCTTTTGGTTTGAAAAGATCCAGAGACCTGTTTGCTGGCCTGAGGAATCCCCTTGAAATGCTGGCAGGACAGTTTGGGATGCTCTTTCTGGTCAGGCTTCTACCTTGTGTTGCCTGGTGCCTGTCAACCTGGGTGGTTCCTTTCTTAGGCTCTTCACCTTCAGAATGGAGATAAGAACTGCCTGGTTGCCCGATCCAAGTGCTTCCTGAAGATGGGAGAGCTGGAGAAGTCCCTGAAGGATGCTGAGGCTTCACTCCAGAGTGACCCGACTTTCTGCAAGGTGACTCAATCTGGCTTTCACCACTGCCATTGCCTGTCGCAGCCTCTGATGAGAAACTGAAGAACCAGCCAGACTGCCTAGGGTTTGATGCCTTTTTCTCTCCCTAGGTCACTTACCTAGCTACCTGCACCTGTATCCCGACCTTGATCCTCAACCTAGGACCCTCTGCTCCACCACACCTAAGTCCTGTAAGGCCTTGTCTGCCACCTCAATTTGACTTCCTCTCATTTCAGGGAATTTTACAAAAGGCTGAGACCCTGTACACCATGGGAGACTTTGAGTTTGCCCTGGTGTTCTATCATCGAGGCTACAAGCTGCGGCCTGACCGAGAATTCAAAGTTGGAATTCAGAAAGCTCAGGAAGCCATCAACAACTCAGTGGGAAGTGAGTGACCATTGGACCTATGCCCTTATCCTAGGAGGCTCTTGGAATCCTTGGGCTTGGAGGTGCGATGAGTGAGCAGCTACCACCAGGCCTGCAGGGAGTGTCATGCTTGGATTTGGTTGCTGCTGATTTTGTTGAAAATTAGGAACTAATCTGTCTATCCAGAGGACCAGCCCCTGATCCATTGTGCTCAGCTCTGCAACTTCTGGTTCTCCTCTAAGCCAGATGCAAAGGCTATTCACATTAGGACTGTCTTTGGCCTGGTTTCATGGGATAGAATGAGGTCCTGAGCCTAGCCTTCCCTAGTTCCTGGCTTCCTCTCTTACTGGGAATGCACCAAGGACTGGCCTTACCCATTGGCTTAGTGGCAGGGGGAGAAGGGAGGAGAGCAAGAGTTTGCCACTGTGGGTAGCAGAATGTGGAAATGGCTGGGAATGGAGAGCTCTCCCAGTGCCAGGGACTGCCTTTGGAAATCTGGCTGCCATGGCCTTGGGATATCAGGGCTGCCTACCTATAGGAGAGTGTTATTCCAAATATCCTGTACCATCAACCTGCTGGACTGGCTCAGAGACAGCTTTGCCATGACCTCTGCCACCCCCTGCCAAAGGCAGTGATTTCTACATAAAAATATGTGATAGGCCATGCTTGAGGGCCTGGCACACCTGAGCCCCAGCCTCTTTTCTTGCAGGTCCTTCTTCAATTAAGCTAGAGAACAAAGGGGACCTCTCCTTCTTAAACAAGCAAGCTGAGGTAAGGGCCTTGGTTCTGATATCACATCCCTCCCAAGGAAGTGCCCACATGTGCCTGAGGTCTCAGTGGCCTTCTAACCTGGGGACAGTCAGCTCCTGCCCATCATGGGCAGCTGTGGGATTCTGCCCCAGCTCCAGAGGGGTCTTGGGAATCTAGCTGTTCCCAGACCAGACACGCTCCATGGTTCTTGACCCACAGAGAGGTCTTGGAGGAGATGTCTGGGATCACAGACTCTGGGGCCATGTCTGGGTACTCTGTGCTCCTTGTTGAGGCTCTATTGGGTATTGCTCTGTCTTTCCAGAGTATGAAAGCCCAGCAGAAGCCTCATCCCGTGAGACAACTCTTACATCACCCCAAGAGAGAGTCCAAGCGGAAGGGCTCGCTCAAGAGTGAGAAGATTGTCCGCCAGCTCCTGGGCGAGCTCTACGTGGACAAGGAGTATCTGGAGAAGCTCCTATTGGATGAAGGTTTCAGATACGTTGTTTGCAACAGGGAACTTGTGGCAAAGGAAATCTGGGACAGGTGCTGGAATACATGAGCTGGAGACAGAGCCTGTCATGTAACATTAGCCTATGGACAGGATTCCCTAGTATTCTCATTTACAGATGAGAAAACTCAAGTGCAGAAAGATTAAGTAACTCACCAAAGGTTACACATCAGTAAACAGTGACATGGCTCTTGGGTTTGAATCTAGGATGTCCAATTTCAGAACTTGGGTTTGAATCTAGGATGTCCAATTTCAGAACTTGGGTTTGAATCTAGGATGTCCAATTTCAGAACCAGTGCCCTTAGCACTATGGTACCCCTGGGAGGGAACCCTAGAGATTGGGGTTCTTTTATCACCTAGGTCCCTGGAGGAGCATCCCCTGAGCCTTCAATTTGTAGAAAGAGCAAAGGAATCCAGCTGGGACATGCTAGAAGGGGAATCCTATGATACTAGTACTAGAATGTTTTGAAATATCTGGTCTAATGCCTCCTTTTATAGATAAGGAAAGAGAGACCTTGAATGGGGAGCAACTTGTCCAAGATGACAAGCAAGTTCGTGGTGAAGTCGACCCCAGAGGCCAGCCTACTAACCTCCAGTCTAACGCTCTTTCCACTATACTGTGCTGGCAGTGGCAAGAAGTAGGGCAGAGCCTTGAAATGAAATGGGAGGGTGGGAGTATTGCCATTAGCTGATAAGCCTAAGCAGGATTCATCCTTGAATCAAATGCCTATTCTCCAGAACTGCCTTCCTGAGGTTATCTGCAGGACTCCCTGCAGGTCTGTGTCTCAGAAGCAGCTTCCCTGCTGGCACTTCTCTGTCTGGGTCCTGAACACTTCCCTCCAGAGGACCTTCTGTGGAGGAAGGGGTGGCCTGAAAATTACCCCATAAGGCCTTACAGTTTTGCTACCAGCTCTAACCTCTGGTCAGGCCGGCGGGCAAAGCTTGGGCACACTCTTCCAGCTCCCTGCTGGCCCTGGCCCACTTGGCACCTGGGGATTCCCTTGGCACTGGGAACCGGGACCAGGCTGTGCATTCACACTCAGTCTTCTCAGCAGACACAACCTGAAATCAGGGGGCCCGAGGGTTGCGGTCCTTTCAGGCAGCTATCTGCCAGTGGCCCCCTCGGCTAGTTCCTTGTATCTTTGCCATAAGAGGCCTGTGCACGAAGTTTGAGAAGACCATGGCAGTGTCTGAAAGAGGGGCTCTGGCCTCACCTGGGTCCACATAGAGCCACCCTGCTACCTATGTGCTCTTGCTTTCCCCAGCTCAAAGCAGAGCTCCCCATAGGGGACCCCACAGCAGGAATCCCCAGATAAGAGGAGATGGCTCCCTTAGACGCCGGTTCTAGTCGGTTTCTCCTCACACCATTCTTCCCAGACCTGATCAAAGGCACCATCAAGCATGGCCTGACCGTGGAGGACCTCATCATGACAGGCATCAACTACCTGGACACCCGCAGTAACTTCTGGAGGCAGCAGAAGCCCATCTATGCCAGGGAGCGGGACCGGAAGCTGATGCAAGAGAAATGGCTAAGGGACCGCAAGCGCCGTCCCTCACAGACAGCCCATTACATCCTCAAGAGCCTCGAGGACATCGACATGTGTGGGTGGTGTTCTCGGAAGGGCGAGGCCTTGGCCAGGTGGTGGGAGAGCACCAGAGGGGCCCGAGGTTTTGGGCCTGTGGAGCGTATCTGGGGGGAGGCAGGTTGTCCCATCAGCCTGAGGAGACTGCTCCCAACTCCCTGTCCCCCATTTCCCTTCCTAGTGCTGACCAGTGGCAGTGCTGATGGCAGCCTTCAGAAAGCTGAGAAAGTGCTGAAGAAAGTGCTGGAATGGAACAAAGAGGAGGTGCCCAACAAGGATGAGCTGGTGGGAAACTTGTACAGCTGCATAGGGAATGCCCAGATTGAGCTGGGGCAGATGGTCGCAGCCCTGCAGAGCCACAGAAAGGACTTGGAGATCGCCAAGGAATAGTGAGTTCCCAGGGAAGGCTGAGTGGCTGGGGCCCATGGGCCTACGGATGAGCGGGGTGGGGGCTGCACACCAGCCTTTTTCCGGGGCTGCTGGTGGGTGAGCTCCCAGGACCGAGGCTAAGAGGCAGACCTAGACGGTCAGCTTTTCTGCCCCAAAGAGGAAGGCAGTGGCCCAAAACGCCAAAAAGCTCCCACACGTTGGGTTCTGAGGGGATAGGTCTATTCTTAAATCATCTCAACAAGCACAGGTCAACCCCAGACCCATCAGCGGCTGCTAGCCTCGGGGACCAGATACAAGGATCCTCTCCCTGCAGACATAAAACAAAAAGTGACATAGCTAAGAATGGTAATTGTGGGAAGTGTCACCAAGGACATGTACAGGGCACAGTGCTATGAGAATTATACTCCAGGAGGATTTCATTGGGCATTGGGCAACACAGTCTGTGGGAGGGTCCTGAGGCAGGCAGGAGGAAGCTCAAAGCCAGAGAACACAGAGTATTGCCAGGGGAAGAGTGGCCAAGGGGAAGCCAGACCAAATGGCAGCAGTCAGATCAAGCAGGCCCTCAGATACTATGCTGCTGACCGAGAACATGGGCTCCGGAGTCAGACTGACCTGGCCTTCGGAATTGTACCCCGCAGCTGCTGGACTTTGGGCAAGGCACTTCACCTCTCCCAGCCAGGTCTCTTCCGTCCAGTGTGCATAACAGTAGCCCCTTCCTGAGAGGGCAGAAGGGTAGAGGACAGGCCGAGCGAAGTCCAAGCAAAGATCTCAGGACAGTGCCGCGTATCCACAATAATACGAATACTGACTATCCGCTCTTCCCCAGACTCGAGGCCCCTCTGAAAGATACCATCACTTTCCGGGCCTCCTGCTTCTAACCTTTGGAGTCCTCCAAGACTTTCTCCTGCTCACTTTCCACTTGCCCTACAGTCCGAGCCTCTCCCTACCTCCCATCATCCTATTTCCACTCACAGGTCAGGTCTTGGCTCTCCCTGCCTCTAGCTGTACCCACGCATCACTTCCTGAGACCTGCGTTTTATCCAGCAGTTCTTCCGCGGCTGACACACAGGCCTTGGCCCCTCGTTGCCTGCAGGTTAAAACCACATGCCTTCACCTGGCACCTTCACCTTCAAGGCCTCCTCTGAACGCGCTTTCACACAGCCCTCCCACGTCACTCCTCCATTTGGGTCAAACTGTATTTCTTTTTCTTTTTTAAGATTTTTTTTTTTTTTTTTATGGGACGCCTGGGGGTGGCTCAGTCGTTAAGCGTCTGCCTTCGGCTCAGGTCATGATCCCAGGGTCCTGGGATCGAGCCCCGCATGGGGCTCCCTGCTCCTCGGGAAGCCTGCTTCTCCCTCTGACCCTCCCCCTGATTGCATTACCTCTCTCGCTGTCTCTCTCTCTCTCTCAAATAAAAAAATAATCTTTTTAAAAAATAAGATTTTATTTATTTGAGAGAGAGAGAGAAAGCATGAGTTTGGGGGAGAAGCAGAAGGGAAAGGAAAGGGAAGTGGAAAGAATCTCAAGCAGACTCCACACTGAGTGCAGAGCCTGATGTGGGGCTCCGTCTCACGACCCCAAGATCATGACCTAAGCCGAAATCAAGAGTCAGATGCTTAACAGACTGAGCCACCCAGACGCCCTCAAACCGTATTTCTTAACCCCCACCCCACCGCCCCGCTCCTGCCCTCTCCTCACTCACCTGAGCCCCACGTGCTATTCATTCCCAGTTCATTTCTCACTGGCCTTCGCCGTGCTGAGCAGAAGTATCTCGTATGGGCCATTTTGGAACTAGAAAACAAGCAACAGCTTTGGAGACAAAGCTGACTTTGATTCCCGGCTTTGATACTCAGAAGCTGTGTGGATTTTATTAAGTTGCTTGTCTTCTCAGTTTGCTCATCTCTAATGAAGGTATATTAATACTGACTCATAGAGATTATGAGGATTAAATAAGATATGTATGCACAGTACCATGGATCCAACCATCTCCTGTGCCCTAAAGACTCACTTATAATTTTTTTTTTTTTAAGATTTTATTTATTTTTTTGACAGAGAGAGACATAGCGAGAGCAGGAACACAAGCAGGGGGAGTGGGAGAGGGAGAAGCAGGCTTCCCGCAGAGCAGGGAGCCCGATGTGGGACTCGATCCCAGGATCCTGGGACCATGACCTGAGCCGAAGGCAGACGCTTAACGACTGAGCCACCCAGGCGCCCGACTCACTTATAATCTTAACTTCTCAGCAGACCTCCCTCGTGAGCCCCAGGCCTGCATATACAACTGATTCCAAGGCATTTCCATCTGGATGTCCCACAGGAACCCCAAATTTAACATGGCCTAAGTGGAATCCCTTATCTTCCTCCCAAACCTCTTGCTCCAGGGTTCCCTATCTGTGAGGATGGCATTATTATTGGCCACTCAGTCCCCAAGAAGGAGCCTGGGCAGCTTCCCAGACCCCTCCCCCGCTGCTCGCGCCCAGCCAGCCTGCAGGTTCTCTGGGCCCCCTCCTTCCTGTCTCCATGGTGTTTCTCTGTTTCCCTCCCACAGCTCAGTCCAGACCCTTCTCACTTCTTGCCTAATCCTCCGACCTGGGTTTCCTGCAGCCCAGCTGGCCCTCCTGTGCAGAACAAGTCCAGTGGTAGGCCTAGGATACAGTTCCAGCTCCCAGTTCTGCTCAGCTCGGGGTGCCCTTCCTGACCTGACTTCTCCTGGCCCCAGTGGACCGAATTCTGTCCAGGCCCCTGGGCATCCTGTGCCCCCACCAACACCTTGTGGCTCTGCTCCTGCAGCCCCTAAACGGGACTCCCTTCTCTTTCTTCATCAACTCCCCCCTTCCCGTCCTTCACAACTATAAATATGTCTCCCTTCAGGAAAGTTCCAAGTGTCCGCCGGGAGATTTAGAAATCCCCGCCACCTTGGTGCTCCCTCTCTAAACTCTATGTGGATCCTGGCTCCCCTGTTAGACTTTGGATTTTGGAAGGGACTGTCTTATATCACTTTCTCTTCCCAGCACCTTCCCTGTAGTAGGCATGTGATAAATGCATGCCAAGTGGCTAAATAAACAGTGTTCCTTAGACAATGTTAGTCCCTTTTTACCACCCACAAACGGGCCTCAGGTCTTGTTTGTTCAGGTACTCCCTCATTCTAATCAGCCATGCCCCCCATCGGCCCCCCACCTCCAGAGCCTGCTAGCCCTCAAGGCACAGATCAAACCCCAGCTTGTCTCAGCAGCATCTCCAGTGGCCCCTGCCCTCATTTTTTCCTCCAGATACTCTAGATGATTTGAGTGCATGCTTTCTCATTGCTATTGTTACTTCTTATTACACAGTATTATGAATAAATTAACATATTACAACTTGTTCAATTCATCACACTATAACAGAGCACCCACTCTAGAAGGGGCGGTCCATCAGATGTGCTGTCAGAACAGTGGGTGCACAGTATGGCCATCGGTCCAGGGAGAGAAGCAGGGGGGAGCACTGCTGGGAGCGGAGGGGGTTTCAGAGACGACAGGTCAGCCAAGGGGACGAGAGGGAGGGAGAAGGGCACCCTAGGCAGAGAGAAGTGGCAGGGATGGGAGATGCAGGGCGAGGGGCAAGACCTGTGGGGAGTGGCAGTCTGGGTCGCATCCTGGGGAGGACTGAGGACAGAGGAGTCGTCTGGTTTTACACAAGTACTAGTGTTAGTGTTGTACTTGGTCTGGAACTCTGGGGCACCGAGAGCAGAACTTGGAAGTCTCCCCCCACCCCCACCTCCCAGCACCACACTCCGCTCATGTACCTGGGGCCATGTTGACATGTATCCTTCTGGCCCCCTTTCAATGTATTTACCTACATATTTATATACATATGCACATACATAGGATTCTTAAAAGTAATTTACTTTTATGATTTTTAAGAAGCATATGTCTTGGAAAGGGTCTCATTCTTTAAATGGCTCCAGAGAAAGAATTTCAGCATGCATAGTAATTTCTTTAGCTACATCCCTGTGGCACACTCAGGCTGTTCCCCTTTTACCATCAAGCACAGCAACATTTGTGTGTGTGTTTCTGTGGGAAGAGAAATGGCTTGATGAGATGTGCATGTTTGAAAGGCAGGTTTGGCCATGGTGGTAGAATGAGTCCAAGGAGCAAAGTTTCATGGGACATAGCAGCCCTCTGGATGGCAGGACCTTGAGGGATGAGGAGGAGGGAGAGAGTGGGAGGAGATGCTTGGCAGGGAGCGTTGGGGGACAGTTTTATTTTTTGGGGAAGAATTTTTTAACAGATCAGTGTTCATGTGGTGGTAATGGTGAAGAACCGATGTAAGGGGAGCAATTGTCATTTTCTTTATGAAAATATCTTAATCTCATGGGCTCCTGGGTGGCTCAGTTGGTTAAGCATCTGCCTTTGGCTCAAGTCATCATCTCAGGGCCCTGGGATCCAGCCCCATGTCGGGCTCCCTGCTCAGCAGGGAGTCTGCTTCTCCCTCTCCCTCTGCCACTCCCCCTGCTCGTGCTCTCCTCTCTCTCTCTCTCTCTCTCTCTCTCAAATAAATTAATAAAATCTTTAAAAAAAAAAAATACCTTAATCTCTTTTCTGATGTTACAGAAATACTGTAAACAATTTAAACAATATGGATAAATGGGTAGTTTCCCTCATGCTCTTGTTTCCCTTGGATAATCATTGTTAATAGCTAGACCTACATCCTCTCTAATTTTAAAAGTGCCCATTTTGGGGGGCTCCTGGCTGGCTCAGTCAGTGGAGCACGCAACTCTTGATCTCAGGGTTGTGAGTTCGATCCCTACATTGGGGGTAGAGATTGCCTGAAAATAAATTCTATAAAAAAATGCCCCCTTTTTATTCCTTCACTTCTTTTTTGGTGAGTTAAAACAAAACAAGTTCATTTTTTTAAGAAGAATTTATTTATTCATTTGAGAGAGAGAGAGCCAGCAAGCGGGGGTAGGAAGAGGGAGAAGGGCAGAGAGAGAGACAGAGACAGAGAATCCCACGCTGACTCCGCACTGAGCGCAGAGCTTGATGCGGGGATCATGACCTGAGCTGAAACGAAGAGTTGGACGCTTAACTGCCTGCGCCATCCAGAGGCCCCACATTCATTCTCTTGTAGTTCTGAAGGTTAGAGGTCTGAAGGCATTCTCACTGGGCCAGAACCAAGGTGTTGGCAAAGCTGTCTTCCCTCCACAGGCTCCAGGGAGAATCTGTTTCCAGCCTTTTCCACCTTCTAGACTTGTACTCAGTGCACTGCGCACGTCCTATGTGGCCCCTTCCTCCGTTGTCAGGCCAGGAACACAGCATCATGCTTCGGGGCTGCATATTTATTTTTAGCACAAACGGGGCAACAGTCATAGTATACACTCCTGTAATCTGACTTTTTAACTTCATGTGTCAGGGGCTTTTTTTATACACAAAAATTGTCAGTGCTGGGGCACCGGTTTAGGTTGTTTCTAACGATTATTAGTCTTGTCACATTATCTTCTCCAGGTAAATTCCTAGAAGGGGAATTGCTGCATCAAAGGGGCATGTGTGTAAACTCTTGAGTGATTGCTCTCTAGAAAGGTTCCCATGGTGTTCATTCATGCCACAGGGCATGAGAGGACCTACGTACCACAGCCATGCCTCCTGGGCATCATCCCTCCAACTGGACTGGACGCCCAGTCCCTGAGGCATGATGCTGTGTTCCTGGCCTGACGATGGGCCTCTGTCTGCTTCTCTTCAATTACCACAGTGCTGAGGATGGCCAATTTCTTTTCCTTTCTTCCTTTCTCTCTCTCTCTCTCTCTCTTTTTTTTTTTTAAGTAGGCTCCACACCTAGCATGGAGCCCAACATGGGGTTTGAACTCATGACCCCGAGATCAAGACCTGAGCCGAGGGACACCTGGGTGGCTTAGTTGGTTAAACGTCTGACTCTTGGTTTTGGCTCAGGTCATGATCTCATGTGTTATGGGATTGAGCCCCGTGTCTGGCTCCTTGCTCAGAGGGGAGTCTGCTTGAAAGGTTCTCTGCCTCTGTCCCTCCCTGCCCCAAGTAAATAAATAAATCTTTTTTAAAAAATTTATTTATTTGAGAGAGAGAAAGAGAGCACAAGCAGGGGCGCGGGGGAGCAGAGGGAGAGGGAGAAGCAGACTCCCGCTGAGCGGGAAGCTCGATGAGGGGCTTGATCCTAGGAACCTGGGATCATGACCTGAGCAGAAGGTCAGGCTTCTGCTTAACCGACTGAGCCACCTAGGCACCCCAATAAATAAATCTTAAAAAAAAAAAAAAGACCTGATCTGAGATCAAGACTTGCACGCTTAACCAACTGAGCCACCCAGGCCCCTAGGATGGCCAGTTTCTAGTGAACAACAAATCCTGCTTCTTCCCCACAGTGACCTTCCTGATGCTAAGTCGAGAGCCCTTGACAACATTGGCAGGGTTTTTGCCAGAGTTGGGAAATTCCAGCAAGCCATTGACACGTGAGTAACCCCAGACTGCCCCTTCCCCACCCGAGGGCCAGGACTTCCCACCCTCACACCGGACTCCCAGCCTGGGGCCCGGATGCCAGGCAAAGAGGCATCAGAAGACCTGAGTTTGGCTCCTGGCTCTGCCACGTGACCATGGGCTAGTCACTTTGTCAACTCTGAGGCTCATCTGTTAAGTTGATTGACTAGAATCAGCATCTGCTCACAATTTCCCAGTGACAGGAATCACCTGGAGCACAGGTACATGAATTACTGGGGCCCCTCCCTGAAATTCTGATTCTACAGGTCTGGGTTGGAGCTCAGGAACCTGGGGGTTTTTTTTGTTTTGTTTTAAGATTTTATTTAGTTATTTGAGAGAGAGAGAGCTCGAGCACAAGTGGAGGGAGAGGTAGAGGGAGAGGGAGAAGCAGACTCCCCGCTGAGCAGGGAGTCCAACAACACAGGACTCCATCCCAGGAGTCTGGATCCAATTAGACTCATTTGCTGGGACCCTTCTGCTCCACATCTCTTGGTTTCCTGAATGACCCCTGGTGTCTATGTGCCAAAAGACATATGAGTTTGAGAGTTCACCCACCCATTTGTATCTTTTTATAAGAAAATGTTTTGTAGGGGCGCCTGGGTGGCTCAGGTCATGGTCCCAGCGTTCTGGGATCAAGCCTCGCATTGTGTTCCCTACTCAGTGGGGAGTCTGCTTCTCCCTCTGCCCGTCCCTGTGCTCATGCTTTCTCTCTCTCTCTCAAATAAATAAAATCTTTAAAAAAGAATGTTTTGTAGTGAATTTGTGCTTATTGTTAAAATATTAATTTGGGGTGCGCCTGGGTGGCTCAGTTGTTAAGCGTCTGTCTTTGGCTCAGGTCATGATCCCAGGGTCCTGGGATCGAGCCCCGCATCGGGCTCCCTGCTCGGCGGGAAGCCTGCTTCTCCCTCTCCCACTCCCCCTGCTTGTGTTCCCTCTCTCGCTGTCTGTCAAATAAATAAAATAAAGTGTTAAAAAAAATATTAATTTGGGAAATGCAGAAGAGTAGCAGGAAAATTGTCTTCCCTCCCGAAGACGATGATAGGTCTAATCCTAATCTTCCTTTATTGATATCTTGTTTTTTTTTATTCTAATCTTTTCTGTGTGGATTTTGTCTTCTATATACTTAATGATACTCTTCAATGTTATTTTTATGTTATTTGAAATGCAAGTTTACAAACATGATTTTCAGTTGTTGTATCAGTTCTATCTGTAAATGACTAAAATGGCTTTGGCCGTTTTAAAATATCTTCATGCTTACTGGCTCCACCCCTGAATCCGAAAGAACTGGTAGTTGGAGAACGAGCTCTGCTCGGCCTCCTATGGCTGAATACAGGGTTTGAGTGGAAAGAACTGACCCTGGTTCTTCACATTCCCAGGTGGGAGGAGAAGATCCCTCTGGCAAAAACCACCCTGGAGAAGACCTGGTTGTTCCACGAGATCGGCCGCTGCTACTTGGAGCTGGACCAGGCCTGGCAGGCCCAGCATTACGGTGAGAAGTCCCAGCAGTGTGCTGAGGAAGAAGGAGACATCGAGTGGCAGCTGAATGCGAGCGTTCTGGTGGCTCAGGCACAAGGTATGGGCACGGAGAGAGGACCACCAGGCCAGGGCTGGGGACCCTTAGCATCCCATTGTGTCCCTGGCCAGATGAATGTGGACTCTGAGAGTGGAGGACAAAGCCCTCCATTTTGACCAGCGTGTGGTAAGTGCCTTCTTTAAGCTAAGCTCAGTGAGAGCGTGGGGCACCCCCGAAGCTCCCACTGAGGAGCTCAGCTGCAGATCAGCCCAGCATCGTGTCATCATCAAAACAGCGCCACTTCCTCTGGCCTTGGTACCCTTTGAGTGTGCATTCTTGCACTTAATCACCGTGTGAGCCAATGACGAAGGCATTGTCCTCTTTTCACAGATGGGGAAACTGAGGCACTGCATGGTTAAGCTGACTGCCCCAGGTCCCATGAGGGACGTTTTCAGAGCGATGGAGATGTTCTTTTTCCCTGCAGAGCAGGGAGCCCAATGTGGGGTTCAATCCCAGGACCCTGGGATCATGACCTGAGCCGGAGGCAGACGTTTAACCGATTGAGCCACCCAGGTGCTTGATGGAGATGTTCTAAAACTGCGTTGTGGAGATCACTGTACAATTCCATAAAGTTACTGAAAGTCATTGAACTGTATACCTGCAAATGGTGCATTTTATAATATCTAAATTACACCTCAATAAAGTTGTAAAAAATAACCCAGCAAGGGATATGGGTGAGCAAGAATAGATGAAACAGGGTTGGTGGTATTTTGATAATTGTTGAAGCTGGGTGATGAGTCATAGGGGCTCACTATACTCCATCTATGTTTGTATGTATTTGAAATATTTCATAATACAAAGTTAGAAAGGAAATGGCTGGAGGTCACAGGTTAGTAAGCAATGAGGCTGGGACTAGAGCCCTGTCCCCTGCCCCCTGCGGGCACAGCAGACCCCCATTGAGGGAGGCAATGTGGCAGGGGCTGTGGTCAAGGGCATCATCATTTTTTAAAAAAGATTTTATTTATTTATTTGACAGAGAGAGAGAGAGAATATACAAGCAGGGGGAGTAGCAGAGGGAGAGGGAGAAGCAGGCTTTCCAGTGGGGCAGGGAGCCCGACATGGGACTCAATCCCAGGGCCCTGGGATCATGACCTGAGCTGAAGGCAGACGCTCAATGGACTGAGCCACCCAGGTGTCCCAAGGGCATCATCATTCATTATTCTTAACACAAATACTTTCTTGGCACCTTCGAGGCACCAAGCAGGGTATACAGCAGGGATAACCACTGATAACCATGTCCTGCCTTCATGTCTGAGGAAGTCACTTTGAAGCAGAAACCTTAAGGATGGGAGGGCACCAACTATTCTAAAAGCTGAGGACAGGACTTTCCAGCCAACGGAACAGCATGTAGAAGGTGGGGAGGAGTTTGGCGGATTTAAGAAGCTAAAGGAGACCAGTGTCAGCGGGGCCCCTGGGGGCCCAGGAGGTCTGGATGGGGTAGGGTGATGAGGGGCCAGATCCGCAGGGCCTCATGGGCCTCATTACAAGTCAGAGATTCTCCCTTAAAGGCACAGGTAGAGACAACCACTGGAAGCTTTAAACTGGGGGAAGGCGTGAGTACTGAGCTTTTCCTAGAACTCTTTCCTGTTCTCAGGAGGGCATAGTATAAGCTGAAGGGAAAATGCAATGTACCCCTCAGGGTCGATGTTGTCCTCAGTCTACTCCTTTTTTTTTTTATAGATTTATTTATTGGGGCGCCTGGGTGGTGCAGTCACTTAAGTGTCCGACTCTTGGTTTCAGCTCAGGTCCTGATCTCAGGGGCGTGAGGCAGAGCCCCATGTCCAGTTCCGCGCTCAGCATGAAATCTGCTAAAGTTTCTCTCTCCCTCTGCCCCTCCCTGCTGTGCGCGTGCACTCGCTATAAAATCAATCAATCAATCTTTAAAAAAGAGAGACATTTATTTATTTATTTTAGAGGGGGCGGGGAGAAACTTTAGCAGATTCCATGCTGAGTGCGGAGCCAGACACGGGGCTCGATGTCACACCCCTGAGGTCGGGAGCTGACCTGAAACCAAGAGTCAGACGCTTAACCGACTGCACCATCCAGGCGCCCCTCCTCAGTCAACTCTTGAGGACTTACTTGGCCCCGAGGGCCCCTGGAGAGCCAGCCAGCCACTGCTGCTCTCAGTTTCCCCACTCTGGGATGGAAAAATCAAATGCAGCTGCCTGGAGCCACTGGGTTCTAGAGGCCGCACAGCCTCGCAGGCAGAGCTTGGGCTCTGGGTCCTCCTGGCTCAGAAACCTTGGGTGGTCAGTCAGCCAGGCAACAATGAGATCCCAGATGCAGCACTAACCAGCTGGGTGAGTGAGCTCAGACAGCAGCCACTTCCTCTTGGGGTTCAGACTGCACCCATGTGGGGGCTGGACTCCAGCTGCTGGCCCATGAGTCACAGCCAGCCCTTTGATACCTCTGTTGGTCTTCACAACGTGTTAGGGCAATTTGAATGAACAATTTTAAAATATGGGTTTCCAGGGGCACCTAGGTGGCTCAGTTGGTTAAGCATCCGACTCTTTTTCTTAGCTCAGGCTTGAGCTCAGGGTTGTGAGTTCAAGCCCTGCTACTGGGCTGGGCTCCACACATGTAGAGCCTACTTAAAAAAAAAAAA